TGATATCCCAACCTCTCTCTCCCCCCAACTACCTACCCCAGGCCACCATCCAAACCTTCTATATCCCCTCTCCCCACCTGCTCCCTCCCAGAACCTGTACCCCTTCCTACAGCCTCCCCCAAGCCAGAATCCTTTCCTGGACCCTTCACCCCAAGCTTCTGCCCCAGATCATAACCCCCTCTTTCATCCAAACTCCCTCTCAGACCCCACACTCCCTCCTGCACCTCAGTCCTCTAGTCCAAGCTCCCTTCTACATCCCAGCCACTGTCCAAGACCCTGTGCTCCTTGCACAGAAGTGTGGCCCTTGACTACTTACCAAAATCTTGGAATGGCCCCCCATTAAAAATTATTGCCCATCCCTTGTCTTCATGATAGGATGGATTGCACCATTAGTGAGCTGAAGAGTAGGGATAAAGTCCAGTGTGACCTAGACAAATTGGAAGAGTGAACCAATAGAAATCTGATGAGATTTAACAAGGACAAATGCAGTGTTCTACACTTAGGACAGAAGAATCCCATGCACTGCTACGGACGGGGGACTGACTGGCTAAACGGCAGTTCTTCAGGAAAGGGCCTATGGAATACAGCAGGTGAAAAGGTAGATATGAGTCAACAATGTGGCCTTGTTGCCAAGGAGGCTAACAACATATTGGGCTGAATTAGGAGAATTGCCAGCAGATTGTGGAAATTGATTATTCTCCTTTATTTGCCACTGGTGAGTTTTGCATTCAGTTTGGGCGGCCCCCACTATGAAAAGGTTAGGAACCAACTGGAGAGAGTCCAGTGGAGGGCAATGAAAATAATTAGAGGGCTGGGGCACATGACTTATGAGGAGAGGCTGAGGGACCTGGTCTCATATAGTCTGAAAAAGAGAATAGTGAGGGGGAACTTGATAGCAGCCTTTAACTTACCTGACAGGAAGCAGGGGTTCCAGAGAGGATGAAGTCAGGCTGTTCTCAGTAGTGACAGATGACAAAATGAGGAACAGTGGTCTTAAGTTGCAAAGGGGGAGATTTACGTTGGATGTGAGGAAACGAACATTTTTATTAGAAGGATGGTGCAGACCTGAAATGTGTTGCTCAGAGAGGTGGTGTAGTCTCCATCCTTAGAGGTTTGTTTGGCAAGGTTGACAAAGCCCTGGCTGGAATGATTTAGTTGATGTTGGTCCTGCTTTGAGTAGGAAGTTTGACTAAATGACCTTCTGAGGTCTTTTTCTACCCTAATTTTCTATGATTTTATGATATAGTTAAATTGCAGGATCCCTACTAGTGCCAGCAACATGCATTCTTATTGTGCATATTTCTTCTTTCCTTTTCTTATTTCTGTCAAGTTTGACAGTTTTTTTTTCTTCCTATGGCCCTCCTTTCGGTGGTGACAGCAGCAAACACAGATCTAAATCTGATTCCAATTATCTCCTCTTATGCTCTTCCATTGTGATTTTCTGTCTGCTGCCTGGGTATTTGGTTCTGTGTTGTTCACCCTTCCAATGTTGGAAATCACCTCTGCATCTCATCCCATTCCCAGCAGGTCCCCTGTCTTATACTACTGCCTTTCCATTCTATTGTTTCATCTGTTGCCCCAAGTTCTCTTAGGTAAATGTCATCTTTCCTGCATTGCTGTATACCCTTCTCCATTTTTCCCCTCTTACTGGCACCTTCTTTCCTGATTAGTATGTCCATCTCCTTATCAGTTGTCTTGTTCCCATGTGTCTACTTCCTCGTCTCCTCTCACTGCTCCTCTTTCCAATAGGGCTTCCTTTCATTCTTCTCTCTGTTTAGAACCTCTACACTGAGCCAAATTTTGGAAAAAACCTCCTCTTTTGGAAGAGCCCTTCTTCCTCATGGAAGGAGGAAGACTGGGCTTCCGAAAGAGCATGTCTGCTCTTCTGCAAAAAAAAAACGGAAGAACAGACGCGTTCCCTGGATGTGGCGGAGTTTTTCCAGGATACTACCGGTATCCTGGAAAAACCCTGTAGTGGAGACATAGCCAGGGAGAGTAAGTTTACATGAGGAAAAACTGTTAAATGTTAATTTAAACCCCATAATTAAGATAACCAGGGTTCTAACTAGATAATAGGTCCAGTAATGAGCTCCTTACTTAAGGACAATCCACACTGAAATCAGTGGGAGATTTGCGTGCGTAAGGAATTCAGGTACTATATCAATACCTGTTGATATGGCTCCTTCCCCACTCTGGCACGATAAATGCAGAAGTGGGGGCCAGCAAGTGTACCCCAAAACCTTATCTACCAGGCTTTGGTATAAAACTTCCTCAAAAAATCTTAAAACCCTAGATTTTGGGGATAGAATCTCTGCTGCTACCACCCAAATTAATAAAGAAACCAGGAGAGAGACCATTTGGGAAAATCTCACCCCTAAAGTAAAAAGCAGGATACCACCATTAACCAATACTAGGTTAATAAAAGGAAAAGAGAAAATTTTTATTATCACTACACTATTCCTGTTGGGAGCATAATGATTAGATGGAAAAGTAACAAAATAATATACTCATGGAGAAACTCCATGGGCCTAGAACTCAGTTACAAAGGAAAGCCAAAACATTTTTAAAAAGTGCACAGACAGCAGATCCCATACCCAAACCATAAAACAATGAAACCTAACAGATTTATGGAAACTTTATCCTACTTACAGAAAGTGAAGAAAGAATCTTTTCTTGGAGGAAGACATGGTGTCTGTCCCCCTCAATAGCTGGAGAGAACTGCCCAGAACAAAGGAGGGAAAAACCAAAATTCCTTTGTCCCAGTTTGAAATTCCTACCTACATTCCTATTGGCCACTCCACCTGGCTAGGTCAGGGACATAGTTAACCCCTTAGTCCCCAGGCTGCTGGCTAACCCTCTTGATCATGACACCTGTATTTTTAGGGTTAAAACCAACATGTACAAACAAGAACTTCCTTTGTTCTGGAACAATTTTTACAAAGCTATATAAAATCCTTTCTTTAGTAAACTGCTGTCTGTCCTCTAAATGAGACTGTGGGTAACATTTATATACATATAATTATGTGTATGGGGGCATTTACCTACCCATGAAGAAAAGAAAAGAAACTGTACAACTACCACTACATATCATTACATATGATCAATTCTTGTTAACATGTAGAATTTTTGTGTAACACAATCTTTTACAGTGAATAAGTGTACAGCACTTTAAAATCAAAGGGTACAACTACACTGTAAACTAAAGTTGAATTAAGATACGCAACTTCAGCTACGTTAACTGCGTAGCTGAAGTCAACGTACCTTACCTTGGCTTTTGGTGCTGTCTGCACTGCAGGAAGTCAAAAGAAGAACACTCTTCAATCGATTTCCCTTACTCCTCATGAAATGAGTGTTACAGAAGTTGGAGTAAGACGCCCGTTATTTTTAAATTATTGTGAAGTAATGGGCTTGCTGTGTAGACATGCACTTTATTTCAAAATAATGTGAGTTACTTTGAAATAATGCTGCTGTGTATATCTGCCAGTAGTGTTTAAGAAAAGGCTATAAGCTTTGTTTTTGTGTCAGAATTGTCCCTGAATCACATAGATGATCATTCCTGAGGCCATCTAACAGAAACAACCCTTTAAATTGAATCAAAACAAATGATCTTTTTAAGTGCTGGATTTACATATATTCATAATACCTTAGAATGAAAACTAAGATCAAGATGTCTATTAAAATTTACCCAAGTGAAACAACTCTGAATAGAACATGCAGTACATCAGCTCCAAATATTGGGCTCAGAACAAAATAAAGTGCTAGAATTTTTATAATTAATATCTTAAGTACTTTCCTGAATATGAGGGGAAAATAATTGATCTTAAAATCACATTATCAGCTTGTGAGATATCTGTAAGTCTTAGGCTTCCTATTGCTGCCAAGTGTTGGATATTTAGACGTGCCTATGTTTTACGTTAAAGCTCGAACTAAGTGAAAATGATGAAAAATGTTACATTTGTGCAAAAATTTTCTCTCGTTTATTTTTGCATTATTTGGATCCCTCAGCTTTTATTTTTCCATAACATTTAGGAAGACTGTAAGTTATTCACAGTGAACAATGGAAAAAACTAGAAACAACTTCACAGAAAAAATGAACTTTGAAAAAATTTCTGGATGAAGAGGAGATGGTGCCACACAAAAGCAGTATTATCTAGGGGAAAGATATGTGCTTGATTGCCAGTAGGGTCCTCCTAAGTTCTAGTCCTTCTTCTGCACTCACTGGCCTTAATAAATCCTATGTACACATATGTGCTTTAACATGATGCAAGTATATGTTTCCGAATCCTATGGAGTAGGTAAATATAAATTCTCAAGACTCAGATGATAAGACTAAGACTAAATTATGTATTCACATTCAGACAGCAAGTCAGCATTAGTACCAGCAGTAAAACCTTTGTTTTTAGATTCCAAGCCTAGAGATCCAGTTCCATTCATTAGGCTATACATTTTCAAAAAGTGGAGGCCTTAGTTTTGGGGTGCCCAACTTGAAATACATAAAAGTAACTTGATTTTCAAAGGGCAAGGTCTCATTTTGAAAATGAGGCCTCTTTAAGGTATCACAAATCATTAGTCTCTCTAAAAGTTAGGCTATGTCTACATTGGCACTTTTGTCAGCAAAATTTTTTCAGTCAGAGGGCTGAAAAAACACAACCCTGGCCAATAAAAGTTTCACTGACAAAAGTACAAGTGGATCATCTGCACAGATGACCTTACGGCAGCAGCAATACAGCTGTGCTGCTATAAAATGTCTACTATTGACATGGTCTCAGTACTAAACTACAGAGATTGTCACATCTAGTTAAGTCACTTAACTAGCAAAGGACTTCTGAATTTACAGGGAAAAAATCAGTCTTCACCAGTTCAACAATCCATGTATGCCTGTTATTGTGCAGAAATTTTCCATAATCACCCTGAAATTTATTAAGCACATGTGCAAACTTTCAGATGTTTTCAATGTCTGCTGGTTCCTTATCCTTGTGTCTTTTACTGTGATGTTGTAGAGCTTGGATCATATGGAAAACTAAAATATTATGACACAATGACTGAAGAAGGTAAGATATATTTTAGAATTGTTTGTTTTAGCTTTTTACATTCTTTTTAGTGCCTTTTATGTGTTTGCTTTTTCTTTTGTGCTTCTTCCTTCTTTTGGAGGACTATGTATTTCCTCTTTGCATAATTTTGGTGGCAATACTGTGATACTACATCATTCTTTTTATTTTTATTTTTTTTGGTCATTTGCATTTGCAGTTTTGTTTTTCACATAAATACATCAGATGTTTTTGCTACAGTAAATTAGACATATATGTACTAGCAAGTATATACTATTAACTAATGTATACTATATCTGTATATTTTATATTATGTTTTTGACATAACACATCCTATAGATATGCTCTTTTGTGGATGACCTACCCATAAAGTCTGAAAAAATAATGTAATGACTTCAGTCTTCTGAACTATTCAACAGCTATGAGTTAACCTGATTTTTTTAAATCTTTTCCAGTTTTTCCTGGCATAATTTTAAGGGCATAGTTAACTTTAACACAGATATTAGCATTAAGATCCAGATCCTGCAAACATTTATAAGTAGGAAATATTTGGAGCCAATTTAATGCCTGGTGAAATCAATGGGAGTCTGGCAATTGACTTCAAAGGTCAGTGCTTATAGCTCTGGCTCAGGAAAGCATTGAGGCACATGCTTAACTTTAATCACATGTTTTAAGTGCAGTCAATGTTTCCTTAATTGGGAGATTTCCCTCAATTAGGAGGTAAATATTTTCAGAATCAGGGTCCATTGTGTAATTACTTGATTGCATCTGCCAAATGGGTGTTATAGTAGCAGTTGAACTTGTAATTGATTGCACATTCAAAGTTGAAGACCATTTTGAGGCTGCTGTAATAATTGGCCTTGTGTTCTTATTCATTTCTAATGTTGCATGTATGAGACAAATAAATCATTTTTAAAATGAGATCTTTTCAAGGTGAATTTTGCTGTGTCTGAATGTCTGAAGAGAAGCCTTCAAAACTATTTATTTTGTTATTATTTTGTTTTTGTTCTTTTATGTGTGTTTGTTCCTTGTACTCTGCTCTCACTAGCTTCCTCTCTCATGCTGCATGATGCTGGCCTTTTCCTTAGATGGGGATGGCTGCCAACCTGCATAAAAGACCATGAGAGTTAAAAATTTGCTACACTTTGCATAACTATGCAACTGGTTATGCAACTAGGACATATAGGCTAGTCTCCACTGCAATTCAATGGGCATAGCTGTGTCTCTCAGGGGTGTAAAAAATTCACATCCCTGAGAGATGTAGTTAATCACTGATGTAGACAGTACTAGGATTCTTCTGTCACCCTAACTATAGCCTCTAAGGGAGGTATTAAGTGATTACCTTTAAGTACTGTATCTACACATTTTGAGTGTAGACATAGCCTTTTATAATACATTATATTAATTCAAACTACTTTATTCCTGTTTGCCATAATAGCATAGATTTCTTATTAAATAATGTTACATTAACCAAGTAACAAACATAAGTATTTGCTCAACAGAATCAAAATATTTTATTCCTGCTTCTGTTAGCACAAGTACCTCAGATGTACCTGAACGTGAAATGAGGAGAGAGGAATGTTATTTCTGACCTTGTGGTAGTCAACTTTATCTCCTGTAGTATAAGATCGTACTATCCTTATCTTGCATGAGTGTCAATGTTAGCTTATTAATGATCAGTACATTAGCCACTCATAGTATTTAACTTTCTGACTTCTTCTCTGTCCCTTTCACCTGCAACAGTGGTTTTAAGAAATTGGTGATTACATATATGTTGAAGAACCATACTAATGAAAAGCTGTCACACAGCTCAATATATCCTCTGTCATTCAACACAGACAGTTCTGTCTGATAGATAGCCCAGTGAGTAAAGAAGCATCTGGTTTATATTGTTCCCCAGCAACAGTGAGGTTTTTAGATATAGTCAAAAAAGAAGGAGGGAGTGGAATTTCCTGCAGAAAATTTCAACTTTTCAACAAAAAAAATCAAATCCCACAATATTTTGTCTTTAAACGAAAATGCTTTGATTCAGAAACGTCATTGTGCTGTTTTATGACTAGTGTAGTTCAGGTGACTCATGTCCCCATTCTCCTCTAGAGCAGAGATGGGGATTAAGCAGCTTGTGGGCTGGACACACTTCACCAGGGTTAGCCCCTGATGGACCACCCGTTCCTTTACATTAAGCAGCTTGTGGGCTGGACACAGTTCACCAGGGTTAGCCCCTGATGGACCACCCGTTCCTTTATTTACCTGAGAATCTACAGGTATGACCCCTCACTGCTCCTGTTGGCCACAGTTCACTGTTCCCAGTCAATGAGAGCTGCAGGAAATAGTGCAGTCTGTGCCACTGGCCAGGAACAGCTAACTGTGGCCAACGAGGGCTGCAAGTGGCCATGAGTATGGATGCTCAGGTAAATAAAGAGTCTGGTAAACCAAGCAGCAAACCTTGGTAAACAACATCTGGTCCGCAAGCTGGCTCCCCTGGTAAGTAGGGCTGGGGAAGCTGGTGGTGACTGAGCAGGAGGCTGGTGGTGGCTAAGGTATGGAGTCCCGCCCACCCTGGGAGTAGTCACAACTAGCTTCCCGAGGGATGGAGCTGGCACCTTTGGAACGTAGGAAGGATCCCACCCCTGATCTGGAGGCTAGACTCTAAATGAATCACATTTCCCATGATGTACATTTTCTCTCTCTTCTTGAGTAAATGCAGTACATCATGAGAGGTAAAATCTAGCTTCAGTCTATGGCCCATAGAGAAGAACGAGGATATTCAGGAACTGAAAAACAACTCCTGTGAGAGATCACAATGGCATTTGCAGAATAAAATATTTTGGGATTTGATTTTTCTTTTCAGACTTTTTGATTAGGGGGTTTTTGGTTTTACAACAAAAATTTGAGAACCCAATTTTGCATTGAAAAAACGAAGGAGAAAAACATGAAGCCCTGGAATCATTACTGACCCAGAACAATAAAATAACAACATCATTTTCCTCTTTAGGCTAGTAAGAATGCTATATATATTTATCTAAAAAAATGATCAAGATACAGTGCTTCATGAATTCATCATCTGCAGACTAATGTAATGCTCTGTAACTGGTCCTAGGTAAGAAGTTCAAGAAAAATCTATGACCACGGGTGGCCCATGAACTGCCTGGGCCATGGTGGAAGATCAGGAAGAAGACAGGGGATTTAGGACAGAGTATGGACAGGGCCATCCCTGACTATGGCTATTATTGAATATGGCAGCTTGGCTCCTTTGAAGGATGAGTCAAACATTTGATATTATGGTCCACATTTTACACTGAATTCCCATTTGAGTTTCTCATTTACAAAGCCCTTAATGAAATTTGCCCAGGTTATCTCAGAAACTGTCTCTCCATCCCAGACTTATTATGGCCATGGGTCTAGATTCAGTGAAACTAGAAGTCAAACTTTCTCAACAGTAAATTCAAGGCTCTGGATTGCCCTTCCAGCCATTATACAATAAAAGCTACTTCATCATACCATGCCTCAGAGAAGCAGAATATTAAACAATTCTACTAAGCTTAATGATACCTGATTATTTTGGGGGCATTTAATTGCATTTGTAAAGAAGCAGAAGAACTTAATTGTGACTAGCCTCAATCTCCTCTCCTCTTCTCATTGATGAAAATAGAAGCCATAACATGAATTGACTTGCTTGTATTCTAGATGGACTAGGAAGGTAATATTTGTTCCACTGAGATCAAACTGCACTTACCCATGTTATTAAGTGTTCCAATGAAAAGAAAAATTCCACTGCCATCTGGGTGTGTGTGTTAATGTCAATTTTATTGCTGCATGTTATCAGAGTGATGTTATGTCATAGTAATAAAATATAATTTGCCTTGATGTTTAGAAAAATCCAAGTAAATATGTACACATCACTGTAGTATGTGCAAGTTAGTGTAAGCTAATCATATGACTGAAATATTTTCAGTGTTACAACTTCCTGTAACACAGCCATCTTGAAATCGCAATTGTGAATTTCAAAGTGCCTGCCTATTTATGTCAGTTCCATTTAACTCTTGTTCTTTCTGATGCCTTCTTTCCAATGTTGAATCATATGGCTTTCATATTTCTATATTTGTTCAATACTGACTCTCACTGGATAAAAGTGACTTTTATGCATTGAAAACATTATTTGCTGTACATTTTGAAGTTCCTCCCCTTACAAGAATAAAATTGTTTTCAACAGCACTGAAATTAGTAGAGATATTCCAGTTTTCCACTGTTGTAATTAAGAGCAGAATCTAGCCCCAAATGAGTATTAATTATAATTACTATAACATAAATGGATATATTTTCCTTCCATCCCACGCTCCTTCCATCACACATACAAACATAGTCGGTTAAATGATCTGTCAATTTCAAAATTAATCTTAGGCTTTTGTATAAAGTTCTAACATCTCTTTTTCTGGAAGAAATTTCCCATTGCAGTGTATTGACAGCTGATTCACACTGATGCTTTTATGCTGCACATGGATGCACTGATCTTCTTTTGTAATGTTATATTGGAATATTATTGTATCTCAAAGGTATCATGTAAGTTGCATGGGATATCACACATCAACTACTTGAGGCATCAGTCAAATTATTAAGGCATATCCTATCCTTTTTTTAGTGTTTTTTTCTGTCAGCTGGAAGGGAAAATAATATGAATGATCCCTGGCCATTATCTGGACTGCTCTATACACAGCTGAATGGTTGTAATAGAGGAGCAGAGCAATTTAAACACTCTTTTCAGGTACCAGTTCAGATAAATTGTGCCCTCAGTTACATCCATCTTACCTAACTGATTTCAATTAAAACAAAAATGTCGGGGGCCAGTGAACATCAAGAGGCAAAAACCCAACTCTGATAATAGAATCATAAAACACTAGAACTGGAAGTGACCTCAACAGGTCATCAAATCTAGTCCCCAACACTTGAGGCAGGACCAGAGCATAGGGCATCTTGGGACCATGCAAAATGTCTCATCAGGCATC